TTATTGCCACAAGCTGGTGAGAGAGAAATTTCTGTTTGTTCTTTTACCCCATGAGTCTGGTGAGTCTTTGGGGCAGGTACACTGTAAATGTTCCCAGGCTGCAGCAGCCTTCCCCCAACTTCTGTGCAGTTCCCAAACACAGAAGAGTGTGTCATCTTACCACACAAGAGGAACCACTGGCGTCTTTAGATGTCACACAGCATATGACATGCAGGAGATGGTATTATATGTCTTATTATTTTCTCCTTGCCAGATTTAGACAAATTTTAACTTATCCTGGGAAACCAACATATTTTCTAGTAGGGGAGATATTTGCTAATGTCAAGGTAAACTTTTTTTGCAGTCCTAATAGGTGCCCAGTTATAAGTCATAGACTTTTAATATCATAGACTTTTAAAAAATACTTTGAAATAGAGTATAATTTTGTAGACTTTTGAAGAGCATATAACTCCCACAAGGCATGATGAAAGTGTCTGCTCATCAATTGTCTAGAGTCTCCTGTCTTTCGGTGTCACCTTCTTGCCCGCACCCCAGGCACAAGTCAGATTTTTTTGTTGTTGTTAAGTACATCCGTACATTGTTATCTTTGTTAAAAGGTATGGTGTCTTCCTGAATGGACAAAGGACTAGCAATTATTAAAAACACAAACATATTACATACTTTAAGTTTCAAATCTGTTTGAATGCCTACTGATTCTAAGGCTTATCCTTGGAAATCATTGGAGCCTATATAATTCTACAGCCCCATCAGTTCTCAGAAGGGGAGAGTCCTCTTTCTTGTGAGGCTTATCATAGTCCGTTGAGTGCATTTGTCCATTTTATGTTTGAATTGAGTGCGTTTTGTGAAGTGAGTGAACTTTGTGTTTTGAGGTCCATACCCCCCCATACGCATACATAAGGGAGAGAGGGATAATTCCACTTCCAGTGGCCCTCCCATTTGCACAATTGACATGGCCCTGCTGGAGACTTACAGCCATGTGACTTCAGGCACTCCTGATCGAAATGCCCCAGTTGGCCACAGTGATAACACAAGAGGGTCATTTGTCTTAAAGCTAAGTTAATTCCCTTACACTGAGCACTGTGGCCTGTAGAAGGAGGCCTAGGGATTTCTGACATGTACAGGAAATGGGAAATTGCTGCTCATGTCTTGAGCCTGCAGGTTGTCCCTCTCACCCCTTCCCCTTTTTCCCCTGTAGCTTTCAACACCTCTGAATTATTAATGACCTTGAAGGCCATGTCCAATAAAGTGGGGAACTATCTCCATCCTGGTTTTTGAAGTTTTGTCTGATATCTGGACAGGCTTGTCTTATAAAGTGTATAACCATAGCCAGACATGGTGACACATGCCTTTAATCCCAGCGCTTAGGAAGCAGAGGCAGGCAGACAGACCTCTGTGAGTTCAAGGCCAGCCTGGTCTCCATAGCAAATCCAGGCCAGCTATGGCTACAGGGAGACCCTGTCTCAAAAAGGCCAAAATAAACAAACAAACAAACAAACAAACAAACTCAAAAGGCCAAAACAAACAAAGTGTATAGGCAGGATGCCTTGGCCGTCTTGACTCTCAGGACCCAGCTGAGTGTACATGTACATGTTTTAACTAGCCAAGATTGAAAAAGGGCAAGGTTCTCAGAAACTTCCTGTGTTTTGCCCTGTAACTTGTTATAGCTAACAGGTTTGATAATGGCCTTTTTAATTACTCAGAGATGAGTGATCATGTCGTTCTTATGGCTCTTTTCTTCATTCCCTCCATGGATAGCCTGAACATACCACTTAGTTTTCATATCAGGCATTATATGCAGGGGAGTCTGGCCGTCCTGCTTTGCAGGTAAATAAACGAGGGCTTCATTAACCTAGGTGTCTAGTAAACACCAGAAACAGCATCTGTCCGTGAGCACACAGCAGTTGGTCAGGATAATGTAACTGTCTTTCCAGTGTATGTGAAAGGCCACGACAAACCCCCTGGGTTTCTTAATGAAGGAACAGGGATCTTGGTTAAATGGCCTAGTTTGGATTTGATTTGGGACAAGTCAGACATGGCAAAAGGGAGATGCACTCTGATGGTGTTGAGTTCCCTAGTAGCCACTTTGTGAAGGGGATAGATAAGAGAGGATGGATTTTTGTAGTTCTGTGACTTGTCTCTATGTACTTCTGAAGTTTCTGGGTTAAGGGAGAGGAGTTGTTGGAGACAGAAAAGACAAGAAAAGAAGTAGAAAAGGACTAGCAGAGTCATCGAGGCGAGGGGAGGCTCATGGTAGGCAGGGAGGGTTGAGTGTGTGTTTGGAGTTGTCCAAAGGAAGGATTGTCAAGGGTGTTATCTGGATCTCGGTAACCCCAGGAAGATAGAGTAGTTTAAGAGGATCTATTAAGCACATACACTATCTCTCCTGCAGTAAAAGGTCCTATACAAGACCATGAAAGCCTGGATATAAGGAAGCTAGGAGTCCTGAATTACAACAAAGAGAGCTAATTTCCAGACGATACGATTTTATGTAGAATGAGGGATGTATACAAGGGCCGGGTTCTGCTACAAAAGGAAGTGAGTTGTTTATTTTTAAGAGTCAAATTTAGACACGTTGTTTTGACTATATTACAGAGCATGAGAGCCATTCTAGGTCCTAGCAGTTTGTAGGGTGAGCCCAAAGGGCATCCCTAGACCATGACAAACCTTGCATTTATCCTCAAGGGACTAGGGACAACACTAAGCTGGGGCAGTCCATGAAGTTAGTGGATTTCTATCTGTGCACAGTGGTGCACACCTTTAATCTCTCTGGTCAGGAGGCAGAGGCAGGCAGGTCTCTATGAGCTTGATCTATATAGCTTATTCTCCAATCAGGGTCATATAGTGAGACCTTATCTTAAAAAAAAAAAAAATCTCTGGCTCACAAAATTTAAAACCAGTTTCACTTTGGAGCCTTTTATGATGCTAGGAACAGAACATCTAGTTGGTCAAGCTGGCCTGTTTGAATGGGAGATTCACTAAACCAAACCAGCTATAGATGAATCAGTCATGTGGGAAAAGCAGTCACTGTCTTGGAGAGGTGAAAGCCTGGTCACGGATGAGTCTCTTGGATCACCAAGTTCATATCTGTGTGTCTGGGACTACATCTTGTTGCCTTCTTGAGAATTAAATTTTACAGTATAAGCTGTTTTTCTTACTACAGGCTATTCTTGTAAGGTACTGTATTTGTTACTGTTCTCATTGCTATGACAAAATGCCTACGAAGAAGCAACTTAAGGGAGGAAATTTTGGCTTACAATTCAAGGGAATACAGTTCATCATTCAGGATGACAGGCAGTAGGAACAGGAGTCAGTTGACTATATTGGTTCCATAGATAGGAAGCAGAGAGTGAACAAGAAGTGGAAATGGGCTATAAAACCTCACGTCCTGGAGGTAATAGAGATGGGAGGGAGATAAATGAAGGCAGAGGTGAGAGTAATGAGAATGCATTTTATATAAAAGTGTAATTTTAAGTGGTGATATTTTGTTGGCTCTGGTTTCACCCTCCCTCCCTCTGTCATCCCCTTCCTCCCCATTCTGCCTCCTTCCCTCCCTCTCTTCCTTCTATCCCTCCCAAGATGGGAATGATGCAGTGTTGTGTGTGCTGACATCAGATTCCTGAAAACACATGTCATCTTTTTAGTTATTCTGATTTGACAGTACTCAGTGGAAATTCAAAATTTATTCTGTTAAGATCATTATGTATTAATCAATTCTCATATTTACTACTTACTTAAATTTGGCCTGGAGTAAACTGCTTTCAGGTTTCTAAAGTCTTCTTTGGATGTAGTCAAACCTCATTTAACAAGTTGTAGCATGTGTGAATAGCTTCTGCCATGGAAGTTCATTAGACTCATTGCTCACAGAGTTTGGAGGCGGAAACTAATCTTCTAGATACCTCTGTGAGTATAGAACAGACTAAGAGACTTTCAGAAGCATGACAGAAGTTCAGGAAATGCCATGATTTCATAAACCGTTTAGGCTGAGTGAATTACTATTCTCATTTTTTTTATATTCTTTTATACCAACACTGCTTAAACTTGTTAGTGGGAATTTCCCTAACTCCCTCCCTCCTTCTTTCTTTCTTTCTTTCTTTCTTTCTTTCTTTCTTTCTTTCTTTCTTTCTTCTTTTTTGTCTTTTTGAGACAAGGTCTCGGGCTGGAGGGATAGCTCAGCCAACTAGCTATGAAGACGAGGCTGGGCTTGATCTTACAGAGATCCACCTGCCAAAAATTAAGAGACAAGGTCTCGCTGTAGCCCCAGCTGTCCTGGAACTCACTATGTAAACCAGACTGGACTCAGACTCACAGAGATCCACCTGCCTCTTCCTCCCAAGTACCGGGATTAAAGGTGTGAGCTACCACACCTGGCTGTTAGCAGGAATTTCTAAGAATGAGAAAAGCCTCAATCCTTCTGATCTGATTTTAGTGCTCTTCTGTGTTTTAATTGATAGAATATTGTTACAGCAGATACTAGAGATCCACTCTGGAATGAAAAGGTGGAGTGTAGTTGCATATCCTCGTCTTTACACCCAATAATGAGAGCAATGTCCCTATTCTGCTGTATTTCATATATTCTCTCTCTCTCTTTCTTTGTCTGTCTCTCACCTTCTCTCCCACCCCCCTTTCCACCTCTCCCTCTTTTTTCCTTTCTCCCCCTTTCTCTTTCTCCTTCTGTCCCTTTCTCTCCCCCTTCCTCTCTCCCTCCCCCTTCTGTTGTCAAGCGTGTGTGTGTGTGTGTGTGTGTGTGTGTGTGTGTGTGTGTGCTGGACAAGGAAGGCTTGTAGTATACAAACCAGGCTTGTATTTCAAGGGGTTTGACTACTGAGCCATCTCCCAACCATTCCTGTATCCTTTTGAAATTTTCAATGCTATCATAGAACTGCTATGCAATAGAATAAATATTTGGACACCAGAATTATGTGAACATACTGTCCATTTTGTATATTCATAGTGCTGTAAATTTGACCCATTCTCTTAATAGTATATGTGGAATATTTTAGGATTCAGTGACTTTTGAGGATGTGGCTGTGAATTTCACCCAAGAAGAATGGGCTTTGCTAGATTCTTCTCAGAAGCATCTGTACAAAGATGTAATGCTGGAAATCTACAGGAATCTTACTTCTGTAGGTAAGAGTGCCATCATTCCTTCACAGAGTCATGAAAGAACAAGGGTATTTTGGTTGCCAGTGCTCTTTTGCATTTTAGAATGTAGAAAGGATCAGGCATAGTATGAAGCAATGTATATGAAGCTATAAGATTGATCATTTTTGGTCTTTTTTTGTTTTTGTTTTTGTTTTGTTTTGTTTTGAGACAGAGTCCCCGTAGCCCCAGTTGGCCTGGATTCTCTATGGAGACCAGGCTGGCCTCGAATTCACAGAGATCCGCCTGCCTTTGCCTCCCGAGTGCTGATATTAAAGGCGTGCGCCACCACGCCCAGCAAGATTGATCATTTTTATGTAATTTATAATGATTTTTCTGGGTCTGCATTGTAGGAAAACAGTGGGAAGATCAGAACATTGAAAGCCAGTACAAAAATCCTAGAAGAAATCTAAGGTAATTTTCATGTACAAATTGAAGCAAATGTTCCATCAGGTAATTGTAATACAGTATGAAAATTTATTAAAAAGAAAACAAGTTCAACTTTAAATTTATTCATTAGAAAGGTTTCATAAAGTTTATATGTAATTCAATGAGAGAAAGCTATTGCATGTTTCAGAAATAGTTCACGTGGAAACAGTCCCAAAGAATAACATACATTAATGTTGCTGCTATCAAAATATGTCTTTAGGAGCCATATCACAGAATCACCAATCCTTTTAGTTTCAAACTAATTAGATATACTAACACTGTTCATGTTCTCCTAATTTTAGAACAATAGTCTATATCCTAGACCAACTAATAAGCAAACAGTAAAGCAGCTGTTACTAATCTGATTGTTATTGTTTTTATGGAAGGTACATGATGGAAAGACTGAATGAAAGTACAGAAGGTGTTCAATTTGGAGAAACCTTCACCCAGACACCAAATCCTAATATGAATACAAAAGTTTCTACTTTGGTAAAAACATATGAGCAGGAAGAAGGTGGAAAGATGAAATATGAGCAGTGTTGGAAAACCCTAAAGTCTGTCACAAGTTTTCAGAGATACATGGATATCAGCAATGTGAATAGACCTTATGAATGTGAGGCATTTTTAAAATCCCTTGCTTTTCCTAGTTCATTGAGAATACAACAAACTCACTGTGGCAAAAATTGCTATGACTTCAAGGAACCTGGAAAAGCCTCTGTTTGCCCTAGTTCATTTTGTGTACAAGAAAACACACAGAGTGTAGAAACCTGTTACAAATATAAACAATTTGGTAAACCACTGAGTTTTCACAATTCCCTTGAAAGTCTTGAAAGAATTCATACAGGAAAGAAGCCCTTTGAATGTAAACTATGTGGTAAGTCTTTCATTTATCCTTCTTTACTCCAAATGCATGAAAAAACTCATACTGACGAAAAACCTTATGAATGTAAAAAATGTGGGAAAGCCTTCAGACGTCCTACTGATCTCCGAGTACATGGAAGAACTCACGATGGAGAAAAACCCTATAAATGTAAACAGTGTTTTAAGTCTTTCGTTTATCCCTGCTTACTTAAAATGCATGAAACATCTCATACTAGGGAAAAAATCTATGTGTGTAAACAATGTAGTAAATCCTTCAGATGTCAGAATTCTCTTCAAAGACATAAACTAATTCATACTGGGAAAAATCCCTATGAATGTAAACAATGTGATCGGTCCTTCATTTATCCTTGTTTACTACAAATACATGAAAGGACTCACACTGGTGAAAAACCGTATGAGTGTAAGCAATGTGGTAAAGCCTTCAGACGTCTCAGTGGTCTTCAAGCACATGAAAGAACTCATACTGGAGAAAACCCCTATGCATGTAAGCAATGTGGTAATACCTTCAGAAGTCACAATTCCCTTCAAAGACATAAAATAACTCATACTGGTAAAAATATCTGTGAGTGTAAACAGTGTGGTAAGTCCTTCATTTATCCATCTTTACTTCAAATGCATGAAAGAACGCACACTGGTGAAAAGCCCTATTTGTGTAAACAATGTGGTAAAGCCTTCATACGTCTCAGTGGTCTTCGAGTACATGAAAGAACTCATACTGGAGAAAAACCCTATGCATGTAAACAATGCAGTAAAGCCTTCAGAAGTAATACTTCTCTCCAAAGACATAAAATAACTCATACTGGGGAAAACCCTTATGAATGTAAACATTGTGGCAAAGCCTTCATATGTCAGGGATCCCTTCAGTTGCATAAAAGAACTCATACTGGAGAAAAACCATATGAATGTGAGCAGTGTGGTAAATCTTTCAGATTTCTAGGATCCCTTCAGTTCCATAAAAGTATTCACACTGGTGAAAAACCATATAAATGTGAACAGTGTGATAAAGCTTTCAGAGCTCACAATTGCCTTCAAAGACATAAACTAATTCATGCTGTGGAAAAGCCTTATAAATGTAAACAATGTGGTAAAGCCTTCAGAAGTCAAAGTTCCTTTCAGAGACATAAACAAGTTCATCCTGGGGAAAAGCCCTATGAATGTAAACAATGTGGTAAGTCCTTTATTTATCACTATTTACTCCAAATACATGAAGTAACTCACACTGGTGAAAAACCCTATGAATGTAAACAGTGTGGTAAAGCCTTCAAAGATCACAGTTCCTTTAGGATACATGAAAAAGTTCATGCTGGAGAAAAGCCCTATGAATGTAAACAATGTGGTAAGTCCTTCATTTTTCCCTCTTTACTTCAAATGCATGAACGAACTCATACTGGTGAAAAACCCTATGAATGTAAACAGTGTTGTAAAGCTTTTAGATCACACACTTCCCTTCAGGTACATGAAAGAACTCATACTGGGGAAAAGCCCTATGAGTGTACACAGTGTGGTAAAGCCTTCAGAGGGCACACTTCCTTTCGGAGACATGAAAAAGTTCATGATGGAGAAAAACCCTATGAGTGTAAACAGTGTAGCAAGTCCTTCATTTATCCTTCTTTACTTCAACGACATGAAAGGACTCATATGAGTGAAAAACTGTACAATTGTAAACAATGTGGTAAAGCCTTTAGAGCTTACAGTTCCCTTCGAGTACATGAAAAAGCTCATACTGGGCAAAAAAAGTCCTATGAATGTGAAGACTATGATAAAGCCTTTAGATATCACAATTCTTTTCAATTACGCAGAGGATCTCATACATGAGAAAAACACGATAAATGTAAAAATGTGGTAAAGCCTTCAGAAATCACTGTTCTGTTCAGTTATATGAAATAACTCAAACTAGAGCAAACCATATGTTTGCTAAGACATCAAAAAATGATGGAAGAAGAAAACACCTGTGAATTTAAATGTTTTTCAGATTTTCCATTTTCCTTCAGCTATATTCAAAAATTTGTGAGTCAAAATTTCTATGAATGTTAAAAGTGGTGAAGCCTTCATTTCTTGTTCTTTTTTGAGATCATTAAAGGACTCCTTTAGAAAAGTCCTGTTGGTTAAACAAACGTGTTCCGGTCTTCATTGTCATTTGAAGAACATGGAAAGAACTCATCCTTAAGGAAAACCTTTTGAGTGAATGGAATAAGTGAGCACATCTCTTTCTGTCACATCCACCCAGTGTTACATGATAATTCATAATGAATATGAACCATTCTAAGAATGGGTGCTGTGTTGAAACCCTACCAATTTTTATCATATAAAAGAAACATTTCTTAATTACAATAATTTTAATAAAGTAATGTGAGACCTCTTACTAGAAGGATTATATAAGTTATGACTATTTTTTTAACCTCTTGTTGGTATTTAAAGAGGATGCCTGTCAACACTTGGTGTTTTAGGCCTGTAATCACTGCTACTCTGCTGACTGAGGTAGGAGGATTGCAATTTTAAGACCTGCCTGGAAAAATTAGTGTAAACTGTCTCAGAAAGCAGAACTGTACTGAGGATGTAGCTGAATTGTAAAGTACATGTCTGGCATGTAAGAGGTCCAAGGTTCCATCTCGTGTAACATCAACATCAAAGAAATAAAGGTTCATACATTAAAAGCTCCCATTTCTTTTGAAGGAAGCCTTTAAGATGAGCATTCTCTTATGTATTGCAATGGTATTTGTCTAGACAATGTAATATTGTGTGAAGTGTACAGAGTGTACTCATAGTATATCCTACTACACATCTAGATCGTATGGTACATCCTATTCCTAAACTCCAAATTTCTTTAGTAAGTTGTGCTGAATAGTGTTGGCAGTGGTAATGATGATAAGAAATTTGTGTTCAAGCAAAGTTGTTGTAAATATATGTAAGGCTATTGTGTAAAGATAAGACTTATGTCTATGGAAGGCACTTACCATGAATGGAACTCCTGCACTTACATGTTGATGTTGGCAATTGAGATATAGGATGATATTACACTACTGTAGACTTTGTAAATACTGTGAACTTAGTGTATACTAAATATTTAAAAAATGCTTTTCTCGACCAAAGTGCCTTATTTTATTAACAATAAAGGTTTTAATTATTTCAACTTTAGAAAAATTTATTGTTGTGTATATGTGTCTTTGTGTATGATGTGTGTGAGGAGTGCTTTTGTACCATGGAACAATTGTGGAGGTCAGAGGACATTTTGGAGTTCGTTCTCTCTGTCTTTTCTTTTTGGTTTTCTTTTTTTTAAATTTTATTTTTTTAATTAAAAGAAGCATTTCATTACAACAGCATCAACCTATTCAAT